CAAGAGGTGCGACGCTCCAGTGCCACCTCTCCTCACACGCTACTCGCTGGAAGACGACTTCCCATTGTATCGGGGGCGGTGGAGGCCTCTCCTCACACCCACAGTGAACAGCCTTGCAACACGAGAGCGGCAGCGCTCCTCTGTCGCGTGCTATAGGCATCCGAGCGACCTATCCTGTGAAGAAACCAGCAGCCCGAAATAAAGCGATACCCCCACGAGTCCTGTAAATTGGATCCCGTAAAGCCTACCTGAAAAACAAAGAGCTCCTCTTCTGAGCGTGGTTGAAGAGACCAGAGACGGCCGCTGTTTGTGGTCTCTGCCAGACTGAATGGGAAATAGGAAAGACAGCTCCTGCTGGACATAAACCCCTTTACAGCACAACATAGGACTGACCCTTCACCTCACCAAAACGAGCACGCTCCAGGCCACATTCCCTCCCACAGAAAGCAATTCCGGAAGAATGTGTCATTTTTTAATTCGGGGATTATGGTTTGGTTTTAGCTCTAGCAAAGTAGTGTAAGCTTTTCAAATTGGTCTTCATTTCTTTGGCAGGCTTTAACCGTCGTGAAATACAAGGAGGACCATGAGACTTATATGTCTTAGCAAGAGCTCTTAATAAAACAGATCAGTCGTATATAAAATGCGGAAGAGATTATGGCTCCAAAAATGAGAAACCAGGCCACAAGGCCACCACATGAACAACGCTGAGATTATAGTTTGTGTCGAAGTTCTCATTGCTGTGCTTTCTTGGAAGCTATAAGCAAGCTCCATTTATTGGCTGATTTGAGCCACAATTTCTAAATCATTACACAAACAGGCTACCAGGGGGAAGAGGGTGAGAAGAGTATCTACAAAAGCAGTAATATGCCAAAAGCCACAAACACGCTACATTCACTCACCAGATATACACATCAGCCACATGCATGCTAACTGCAATCCATTCTATGAAGAGCGTGGTCCGTTCTTTGATTTCACCAGGGAGAATCCTGTTGAAAGCTGAGATACTCATGCTCATGAAAGTATTAAAACAAACAACAAAAAAACCCCACCAAAACAAAAACCCAACCCATACACAGAAATGAAGTTGGGACAAACTATTAGACAATACTGCATCTTCAAAACTAAGCTGACTTTTCTCTTTCCCAGATGACTCTCTACTTCCCTGAAACTTACATTCCTATCTTAGTATGGAAATTAAATACAAATTAAAAGATTTTGTGATCAGCTTGTGTTTGATCCCCTCTGGCTTGTCATTATAAATGCAAAGTTTTGTTCTAAGTGTGAAAAATTAATTAAGCTGAAATGGCTCAGTATTAACATAGAGACAGTAACCCAAGGAAAGGGAGTCAGACAGATTTTTAAATCTACAGTTGATTTACTCTAGAATCCAGGCAAATCACTTTCTGCTCCATTTCCATATTTGTAAGATCCAAGTCGTCTTAATTTTTAAAGCAAAATTTGAAGTACTGTCTAAAACCAATGGCTCTGCACGCATTACTCTAAGGAACCTATTACTCCTTCTGTTCCCCCTCCCATAGAGTTACCTGTTTATTGTGAAAGGACCTAAATGCTAGGCCCTGTACCTTCCTAAGTTGTTTGGAATTGGAGAGGGTCTTCTCTCTGTTCTTCAATCGTAGGATGCCGTCCCAGCTCAGAGTCTGAAATCTTCCTCACCACCTAAGGGTTTACCACCACAATTCCTGCTTCTCCATTTAAAAGAAATTATCTGAGTATTTGGTGAAAAATCCATGTGTTGAATTGCATGTGCCTTTAGGGCAGTTTTTGCTTTCTGGTTTCTAGAACAACAAAAAAGGCAGTCAGCTTGGGGCTATATTAAGAAAGATGGAAGGAAGGAAAAAAAAATTGCTTTAGCACGGTAGAGTCACTAACCTTATCAGCACAGAACTTGCCTCCAATCTTTCTGAAAACCAGACCTCAGCCACATCCTATTGCAGGAGACACAGGCTAGAGCATATGACTGGTGATTAGTACTCAACCCCCAGCCCTAAGGAACTACAGCTCTGAACTGACTCGGAGACAGAGAGCAAGATAGGACTGTACAGGATATTAGTTAGTTTCATGCTGCACGCCGGAGGGAAGGCGTGACAGAAGATGGCAACCCAGCCGGTAAGAGGAAATAGTAGAGACACATACACAAAGCAACTTTATGAGGGAAGCTATCAAGTTTACAGCTAGAGGCAAAACCAAATAGTAAACAAGTTTGCTTAGGTCTAGGGCTGCTGTACTTTGGCATGTGCAATTGCAATCCTTCTTTTTCAGTTTGATTACTTTGAGTTTCCTGTCCATGTGACTTTTTTCACCCATGGGCTGTATTTATTTCACTGAAGACAGCTTTTTCCTAGCAGAGTACTGTATTGTGAGGTCTTTGGTGCCTTCTACAATTTAAACACTGTGGATTACAGACTGTCACCAACGCCTCCAGCAGATGGGATGTGAGAGCACAGTGATAACTACAAGCATGTACAATTGGATTTTTTCCCCCTCCTTTTTTCATATCAAGGTGCTAATCTCCTCTTCAAGTACAAGCCATTATGTTGTGGATTGGAAGTGCTTATTCCTGATCCAAAAGGCAATATAGATTGAAGGTTGCTGGAGCCAGAATCCAGATTAACTATCAAAAAAGAATATGTACTTCTACGCCATTAACAGTTATTCACAGACAGAATTAGGTATCCAGCTGAAAAACAGCCTCACTGGAAGAAGAGGTTTTACAGCAAGCTGACTCATTTGTTTGATTTTTGACACAGATTACCACAGCAAGAATTGCTTCACCAAACATGTCAACTCAATACCTTAAACTCGTAACAAAGCTCTGGTCTGCAAGTATTTATGTACTTGTCCAAGTTTCCTAATAGAAGTAAAAGAACTGTCATACTCAGTTCATATAAACTGTCATATACAGTCATATAAAAGAACCGACAAGTGTCAGGCATGTGCACTTGTAGGATCAGGTTCATAGAGCATATAATCATGTCGGTTGGAAGACACTTCTGGAGGTCATCTAGAGCAAAGTCCTGCTCAAAGCAGGACAAATTACACTGGGTGGCTCAGGGCCACATCCAGTTGAGTTTTTAGTGTCTTCAAAAGATGCAGATTCCATAACCTCCCTCAGCTCCTGTTCCAATTTCTGACTACTTGTATCGTGACAATTTTTTCCTAATGTCTAATCACAATTTTCTATACACTAACTTTTCTCTGTTGCCTCTTTCCTATCCCTGTGCCCTCTGAGAAGAGTTTGGCTCCGTCTTCTGTAAACCTTCCCATTAGATGGTTCAAGACAGCAGAAAGGTCTCCCTTAGCTTTCTCTTCTTAGAGCTAAGCAAACCCAGTTCTCTCTCCTCCTACCCCTTGTGCTCCAGCCCCCGATCTTGGTGGCATCTGTTGGACTCACTCCAGTGTGTCAATGTCTTTCTTCTACTGAGGTGTCCAAAACAGGACACAGAACTCCGGATACAGTCTAATTACTGAGTAAGGGAACACTTACTTCCACAACCTGCTGGCTTCATTTTACTAATGCAACCCCAGATGCAGCTGGCCACCTTTGCCACAAGGGCACACTTCTGGCTCCTGGTCAACCTGCTTTTAAACAGAATGCCCATCCCCTTTTCTGCAAAATTTTTTTTCAGCCAGTATTATTGCATGGGGTTATTCCAACCCAGATGGAATACCCAGTCACACTTGCCCTTGTTAAACTTAGTGACGTTTAGTTCAGCTCATTTCTCTTGCCTGTCAAGGAATCTCAGCATATCATAACCTACCTGGTAATCTACACTGCTCTTGATGGAAGCAGCCATTCTGAAAAATCACGCTCCTTACCTTTGTAGAAGCAGTAGATTTTACAAAATGTATTGCTTAATTCCCTTTGCTCTGAACATGCTACATGCTCACATTAGCAGCTTTCTGAATGTCTTACGAATACGGAAGTGTTGCCTCTATTTTCTTCTATGGGTTTAAGCTCCTCCTGGCATCACCCAGGATGCATCAGCCCCCCATCCGACTGGTTCAGTCAGTCCAGAGGGTAACATCAAGAAGTACCTAAGCCACAGAAGAGAACTTAAACATGAGAACTTAAACATGTTTGAACTAAAAAAAAAAAAAAAAAAAAAAAAAAAAAAAAAAAAAAAAAAAAAAAAAAAAAAAAAAAAAAAAAAAAAAAAAAAAAAAAAAAAAAAAAAAACAAAAAACCCATAATGCATAGGGATCGTGCAGAAGGACACAGACTGCTATTGAACTGAGACAACAGGAAACGTTACAATTCAGTTCAACAAATGCTGACAATGTTCAGATCAGGAATGTTTAACTATTTTATATTAATAAGAAATCCTGGGGCAAAGCAGCATAACGGAAATCCTTTCCAAAACTTTGTTCCATTACAGATCAACATTTTCGTCAGACACTGGATGGAAACAACTTTTTTCGAAATAACAGTTTCTCATCACATGAGAAATCATCTTTATTTGTTTTTTTTAAAACCAGTGCTAGACTAGTAAGAATAGTGTAATTCACTGTCAAGAAACATTTACCATGATTTCTCTTGAGAGCTAAAAAGGGAACAAAAAGTTTTGCCACAGAATAATTCAAACAGGTAAATCTTATGGCACATTTAAAAGGCTGACATCAAAGCAATTTTATGCTTTGTATAAAGACTCTCTTTATACAGTAAATAGTTACATATAATATGCATGACAAAAATATGACAGTTTCGGTATTTAATATCCAATCTAAACATAAGTATTCAAAAGGAAATATTTTTACACCATTTCAGTAGTCACTTAGCTCAGTAGTTGGTTGCAATAATCCTTACTGTTTTCAGGAACTGGATGGAGCTATAAGCACAAAAACTCCCATTAAAATTAACGCATGACAAAGTTCCACTACAACCCTCTGAAAAGCAGAGAGTTACATTAAAAGAAATTCAGACACTGAAGTACATTGAAACGTATTGTGTCCTACAGCAGAGTTTGATACTCTACTGGTCAGAAACATGATGGTAACTTCAAAAGGCACTCTGAGTTAAACTACAGTAACGCCGGTCCACAAGCATTTTAGAATCTTGGTATTGTGTAGTAGAAAAAACCCCTATATTTATTCAATATAAATTGCTTTAATCTCTGTCCTAGCCCCAAAGCAGTCAAATTACATTGCACTTTTAAAATATTCTGTGTAGGCTGTGATAAAAATCTAATATTTACATGTTGTGTTTGTTAAAGAACAATGCATTACTTTGTAAAATATTTTAAGAACCAAAGTTTTAACACTTATTCTTGCATTAATATAACCAGAGGCTACACCAAATATTTTTTTTTTTTATTAGCTCCTATTCTAGAAACATTTTTGGTCCTTCAAAAAATCTGTTATGCTGCAATTCATGTTCACAACTGGTATCAACGTCTGTCTGAAATTGCAGTTGTTAGAATATTTAAATAAATAAAGACATCATTTCTAAAGAAGTAACAGCTTTGGAGTTTTGTAAACAAACTGCTGTGGAAAGTCTGTAAAAAGACTCAGTTTGGCATGTTATGACTTTAGTTGGCAATACTTCAGAGTTATACAACTTCTGCCAGGGTAGAAAACAGTTTGGTAGGCACACCTTATAAATCAGTCTGGAAAAAAGACCACAAAAATACTGATTGTTCCTTAGGTTGTACGAATAAATAAAAAAGATCAAAGAGTAACATGATCCACTGAAACCAAAATTGACATTTGTGTGATCTGTAGGGGGAAAGAGAGAAAAGCAACTCTATTCTTTTTTAAAGACAACCTTAAGGAAATGAACAAGCCATAAATGAATGTATGGTAACCAAGATGTACAGGACACAAAGGCTGGCAGAATAAAATGAGCATTATAAATTTATAGAAATATTGATCTAGACAGAACTGGTATTTTAGCTGCATCTCACCAGAAGACAATCATCATTCATTTTTCAATCCAAATTTGAAGAAACATTCCAAATCTGTGTTTGGTGAAATAAGTTCAGTGCAAAGCACTAGCTCTGATGAAGTTTTGCTGACATCTAGGTTGCCCTACATTCCTGTTAAAACATGAGTGGTAACATAAATGAAACATAACAACAGATGTACAGTTATGCCATTTACATATAAATATATGTTTATGCATGTTCTAGAAATTCAAATGATGTCAGGAGGTCTCACAGGCTGTGTTGGATATATTTTATATAGTACAGTTGTAGTTTACATGTTCAATTTCATGACATACCTGAAGTGCTCTACATATGCACCCCTGTACTTCTTTGTAGTTTTTTACTCTATATAGAATAGTTTTATTTTGGTTTTCATCACTTAAAACTGATGGTTTGAGAGAGCAAGGAAAAGCTATTCGCAGGCTTTTGTGGAAAACACAGGATTTGCTCTTTAAGATCGTTATTGATTGATGAAATGATTAAATGTTTCTGTTCAAAACCAAGAACCATGTTGGTAAGCTTGCTGTTAGTAGAGACTAAGAGCTGTCACAGTATCTAATCTAAATGCCTAGTCTGTGTAGTTAGTGGAGCCTTCAAAGGGCAATTGAAAATCCTTCAATTCAGAAGCCTACCCTTTCTCATTGCCCATACAGAGAGATGTTTCTAAATTTGGTAATTTAGAAATCACCTTCCCTTCCCTCCAAAGTAGAGAATTAGAGGAATATCCAAGTGCTACACCAAATTAAATCTCTGTCCCATCACTAATAAACTGCATACCTTGCAAGCAAAGGTCAATGTTGTTTGAGAGGAAAAAAACAAAAGTTATTATCAATAATTAATACAGCTCATTAAATAACTACACAATGTGATTTGTTTGTAAGTTAAACAGTTAAGCTGCAACTGTACTATACTTTAGCACATACATTTTGTAACTGAGTTAACAGCCACATTTGCCTTTTTCTTGCTCCTCATTCAGTTGTTCTGTAGAGCTGTGCCCATTGGAGCGCACTACCCCTTCTGGGATCCAGGATTTATCCACACACCGTTCCATGCGCCTCATAATGAGGTCAAGCAGAGTTTCAATGGCTTTGCTTACATTATTTCCATTAGCTGCACTGGTTTCAAGATACAGTATTCTGCAGAAGACAAAACACACAAACTTACATCACACAGTTTATATTCATAGGAGCAAAACCAATACATGACTACTGCCACATTCTTTGAAATCACACAAACACTGTTACTGCTACTCCATAGCAGAAAGACACGAAGTGGTCAGTGGTCCGAAATGCAAAAGAAATTAATGAAATGGCTGACTCTGTAGGTAGGGCAGAAGGATAAGCTTTAATTTGGAGTCCACAATTTACAGAGGCACTGGTCAGTATGAGTTCCCAAAGTTATGCTCCCAAGGTCTGTTTTTTCAGCTCCGTTCCCCACAAGAGATGCAATTACTTTATATGGCCTTGCGCGCATAAGTGTTCTCCTTACTGCTTTCTATCCACATCAGCTAGGGTGTCATTACAAGAGAGGGAATGCTAGTATGGACGTTCCCCTGCAGGCAAGGCAGCAAAGACCCCTAACATGGTACTCTTATCGCTACAAAAGGTGACCGTTTCTTCTGTTGACACCTCAACTATAAACTCTCTTACATACAAAACAAAACAAAAAAATCCCACTGCTCAGACCACCTACGTCTTTGTTAAACAAGGTTTCTGGGCACCTTGGTATTGAAAATACATTGCTAGTTTTCCTTATCGTTGTGGGTCGGGATGTTTCGGTGACGGGTCTGTAGGCTGTTGACCTTCTGTGCCCAGTGCTCCCCACAGGGTGGTGCTAGAGTGGCTACATTAGCGTTACTTCCCAAGAATGACTGAAACAAAAGCACTTCATGATTTTAAGATTTCTTACTTAGCGTGCAAGATTCAATGAGTGGTCAAAAATATTGTATTGCTGTCTCAGTGTGTAGGTCTCCTGCAATCGTTTTCAAAATACATCACTTACCAGTACCAGGCCTTTCCACAGAAAGAGGATATTCACTCTCTCACACTTTTGTTACCAGAAGACTGTTTGCTGCAGCAGGATTTATCTCAGGAGCATTTGGGAAACTAAGTGACTCCTAGCAGCTATCACTGTCTCACTTCTACAGGGCAGAGAACTTTGTAACTGCCTACAGATTGGATGTGATCTACAACTTTGACTTTTAGCTCCCTATTCCTAAATTAAGTTGGCATTTTCAGCCACAAAGATGAACATTTCATAAATTATTTCCAGAAGGTGAAGTCTTACGCAAAGAGATCTCTTTCACATGTGTAAGAAACGACTACATGCCATCTGCTGCTGTTCAAAAGTTTTTGTTCCTTCACAAGCAGCTGGTTAAAGTACCAAACGCACTTCCCGTTTTATGTGTGACATGGACTTCAACCAAGCATTTTCACAGGAGAAGGAAAAAGTAAGAAGGTAATACTGCACTAAACCCATTTGTCTCTAATAGACAGTTTGCTTCTGATTTGCCTCCAATGACTCTTCAAGGTCAAGGAAAGCTAATTTGTGACTATGTGATAGGAAACACAACAGGACTAGACCTACAGAACAAGGCAGTTAGCACTGAGCACCTAGTGTTCACACCATGCATGTTTTGTGGGCTTTACTGTGGACCAGCTCTAATCTAGTCCCTCAGACTGAATGCAGATTACTGGTTGGAACACACCATCTAGTTTAGTTGTCAACTGAGAAGGAATCCAGTTCACATGCTAGAAAGCTGCTCCACTATGTGAATCAAACCACAATAAAAGATCTGCTTCAAAAGTGGACTTCTGATCCACACTGAAATGCAAATGTAACCCAGAGATGAGACCCATGGAAGAGTTAAGGGAGTATAGGAGTACTGTGGGATTAATTAGTATGGAACAATGATTTCACATAGTTCTTTTAGGGACACATGACCTGTGCCTGCAGGGAAGGGGAAGGGCAAGGCTACCCTGTCTTCCTGCTAGTCTGACTTGGTTTTCATACTCCCTGGGAGTCTCTGAGAGTGCAGATGCCTGCAAGAAAATACCGCTGACCCCTTTGAGGCTAAGTCACTGTCCTGGTTTCGGCAGGGATAGAGTTAATTTCCTTTCTAGTAGCTGGTACAGTGTTTTGGATTTAGGATGAGAACAAAGTTGATAACGCACCGATGTTTTAGTTGTTGCTAGGTAGTGCTTACACTAGCCAAGGACTTTTTAGTTTCCCATGCTCTACCGACTGAGCAGGCTGGAGGTGCACAAGAAGC